TATTTCTCCAATTGCTTGAGATTTTCCTTCTATTTACCCTGCGCGAAAACGAGTGGATTATATAGGGTTGACGAAGTTGTGAACATGTTTGCAATGGGTATAAGCTGTCAAACTGCACTCTAAAAATAAATTGACCATGGTTTGGTTTATGTTTTGAAACAACTTCCTGAATAGTTTTTCGGTTTATATACCTAAAACGTACATATTTGTATAAGACATCTACAGGATATCTTCTAGTCAGACACTTGCCATACATATATTGCAAACTTCTAATGAAAGTAGTTTTGTTCTTGACTGGCCCCAAACAAAGAGTCTTTCGCCAGGGCTGTGTGAAGCACGTAGCAAATAGAATCTCATTTCCGCTTCTCCACAGCTGGGCGAAGAAATTCGCATGCAAATCGTGGCAAGGTGCAAATGAAATGAAAGCCAAAGATAACGTAGAGAAGAAGGACTAGCAAAGGCTTTCAGCTGGGGCGACTAAGCCACAAAATAAGTGAAGTCATGTGAAAACACAACTTGTGGCTACGATTTGATGCAAGCGCTTTAAGGCGTAAAGGGCATCATATAGCTATTTCCCGGAATTATTTCCGTCAATGAAAAGACACCTGTCCGGACATGCAATTTGAGCGCTGTCCCAGTAATATTCTATTGCTGACAATTTGCAAGTAGTTGATTGCAATCATGGGACAGAACAATTTTGATTGGACATAGCTGCCTCTGCTGCAGCAGCGAGTACAAATACTCAAATTCAATGGCAATTTTTCATAAAGTTCAAGCGCAAAATGCTCTATCCAGATACGAATGTGAATACGGATGTGGATGCGGATGCGGATGTGGATGCAAATGCGGATGCCAATTGGCACGCTCCGGCGCTACATGCCATGTGCGTAACCTATTTCAAATAGAGCGACAGCAAGAGAGCTAGCGGGTGCGAGAGAACAAGCAAATCGAGCTGTCGGCTGCACAATACAAAACAATTTGCTGGCGTTGCCACCGTGCTTTGCTCGGCTACTGTCAGTCTTTCAGTCAGTCTATAAAATCCACACACATAGCGCAATTGCATATAAAACGCAGAGTAATACTTGTTACTGGCGCGTCTAATATTAACAATGGCAAAAGTGTTGCAGCAGCAGCAGCAACGGCAGCCGCCAGCAGTCAGCTGGCAATTTAATGTAACAAGCATATTGACTGCTGCAAATAGCATTGCATGTCAATTCATCAAAAAATAGAAGAGAAAAAAAAACCGGAGTGCTCTATTCCACAGTGCACGACCAGGAAATACCCTCAACCTGCCTCCGTGTCAAGTCAACCTTCTCCCAAACTGTGTGACGGCTTCCTTTTATTAAATTTTTGATAGGTGGAGAATGTATCCAAAAATTAAAATATTCTTAATTTAGGTATACTATACGAGAACCTGAGTCCTTCAGACGGACATTGCTAGGTTAACCCAGCTCTCGTTTCCTTCCGCCTGTTACTTACGTTTGTACAAAACTATTATACCCTATTTATCCAATTTGAAACGTTTGAGGGTATATAAAAATATATATTGAAAAAACTGCGCAAAACTATTGACATAGAGATGAGGAGCATCTAGGAGGCCAACAGTTGCTGATCCTGGCACGCACTTGCCATTTCTGGCTCAGCAGCAGCGGATGACTGCAAATTTGCTTAACTGCCAAACAAGCTTCGATTGCTGCGAGTGTGTATGAGACTTTTACAAATTGTTTTGAAATGAAATTCAAGCACCATTTGGGAGCTCTGTGTATTCTGTGTGCACTGCCTTGTGGTTGCTCCAAGTTCCCTCAAGTATTGTTGCTCGCTATTTGCAATTGAAAATTTACTTTCGCTACGCAAATGATCTGCGGGTAGAGCAGATGCATGTCGATAGATGACTTATCCCCCGCATTAAAGCAACTGACCTGGGCACCTCCGATTTCGAAATCTAGCTTTGAAGCCTTATCCTATATTTAAATGTCTGGGCAATTTAAGACGATTATCTTATTAATATATTTAATTTATTGTTTATACCCTGAATATTGAAAATGGGTAAAAGGGTTATTTTGCAAATGTATTTTACAGTCACCACGAAGCATATATGTTCTTGATCACGAGAAGGAGCTGTTTTGTAATTTAACCGCTCTTTTAAAATGAATACTCTCGGATATCAAACGCATTAGGTATATTTATTCTTCAATATCATCCCGTCTCCATAACATTGATAAATATCGATTTTAAGACATGGGTTTTAAGCATAAATGTAAAGTTATAAGAGCTAGGTTCACCAAGCTTGGCATGTAGACTCCTGGCGACAAGCTATTTGGCTTGAATCAGTTTGAGTTATGCCTTGTACGACACTTATCTTATATATACTATCTTACGCTGATTTTTGCATATTTCCCTAATTAAAATTCACATTAACTGAGAGCTCTTCAAGCGTCAATTTCTTCAAGATATTGTAAGGATGTAGTACACAATCCCAGCGCACTCCTACCTTGCTCAACATTCAGGTTCATCCCTCTATTCCCTTTGCAACAAATTGGCTCAATTATTTTCGTTTGCACCGCTTTCCCGCAACGCACCGAGGGCCGACTTTATTTTGCCAGCAAGGTATAAAAACTTTATTAAAAACTTTGTGCCCAAGCCTTTTTTGGAACCTTCCCTGTTTTATTACACGTTGTCTGCTGCCTTTGGGTCCTGACTTGTGTTTTATATATACATATTTATAAAATATACACGCACATTTAGGCAGCGCACTGCACTCCAGGGGCGCTGAAGAAATCAAATTAAGAAAATTTCCTTTCTGGCAAAACTTTGGTGCCTGTTTAGAGTTTTGTAATACTTCAACGCTTCGGCGTCTGCGTCTCCTAGATGCTGCCATGTTGCTTGTTTTTGGCGTTTTCAACCATTACGGATGAGCTGGTGCCGCTGGCCTTAGCCCCATGTGGTTACTTCAAAAATGCTAAATGGTCCCAAAGCAATTGCAACCGCAACAGCAGAAACAACTGCAAAAACAGCAACAGGGGAAGACATCAGTTGGTTTTAAAAACCCGAAAAGGCCAATGAAAATTTCAGTCCAAAGTACTCGCTCGCCTAATAAAAATGCTGGGCTAAGTCATCCACAAGTCAGTTATTTAATCCTTAGCAGAGCGTATTAATTTTTTGTTGTTAAATATGTAACGCTCTGAAGAAAATTTTCCAACTTCATTAAATTGATGTACAAGTGCCTCTTTTTTCGTCTATAGAACTCGAGTAGTCTTCAAACTCGAGTAGTCTTACTATTATGTATGTCTTCATTAATAAAAAAGAAAAATTTGATTGTTTTAATTGTAAGCCTAGACCACGAGTCGGCTTAACCATCAGTTACAAACAACTATTTCGCACGTTCGAATTAAGTGTCTTGAAGCGTATTCAAGTTTCGACAACTTGAATTTATTTCTTGTAGTTTTTATTTTCCATTGGCCAGCACTGTAGGCAAATTGAGTATAATTTTTACCTCTTCCAGAGTAAGAAGTCTTTTTGTTTTGCTGATGGCTTGCTAAGGCTTATACAAACATTTTTAGGTGGAGCTTGCCCCTGCTTATGTGACGCATATGCAGATGCTTTCCTTGTCTAAGAATGTTAGCCAGTTAATATCCAAGCTGTATATTTTTACATATGTTGCTTATTGTCATTAGCTCAATTTCTTTAATTTTCTTCTGATTAACTTAAAGTTGGTATATCTATTACCGAAACCTTTTTATGCAGTTCACTATTCAGTCTTTATGGTCTCGCACACATTTTCAAGGTCAACTGGTTGGCTTATGTGCTTTTGGCCATTGGCTGTTGCTGCTGTTTTTGTTTGGCCATATCCCCTTTCGGGTTCAATAATGTCATAGAGCGTGTCGCAGGCCAGGCGCCAAAATTTATGACCAAATTGTTGACCTGGAGCCTTTGCGCCCGAGCCATTGAATCTGCGACCAGGCAGCGTAGCACGTGCCGGGCCCAGGAAAATAATTTAGCCAAAAACATGAGAAGCTTGCCGTATAAATTATGCACACACAACAACAATACACGAGATGCTCGAAGGTATTGTCTAAGCGACCTGCCCACAAATGCAGCGCTGGCCACAACATCAGCACCAAAGGAAAAAATAGACAACAACAATGAGAATATCAGCAACAACAGCAACATCGAGAACAGACATTACTCACCGCTTGGCCTTTTATTTTATTGTATTTTATCTTTTGAATTACTTTTTGCCATGACCACAACAGATAAACTCGAGCATCTTGGTCGAAACGCAGAGTAGTGGGAAAAGCAAATAAGAAAGGAAAATGCTGAAGTTATTGTTGCATACTCGTCTTGGCTTGAGATTGGGCTTGGGCTTGGGTCGCCCTAAGGGCTACAAGACAACGGCAATGGGTCCTAACAATTGCGCATGTTAACATACTTGTAAGTAGTTTTTCCACTTTGCCATGTTATTCCACCAACACACCACCACCACCACTGACTCTGAGGGCCAACAAATACCCATGGCAAAGACCACTTGCGCATTTGTTTTGGCCACCAACTAGCCGCCAGCGGTTGCCATTGTTTTTGTAATTATCTGCACGTTACTTGTGGGTCAATAAAACTTGATATTTGTTGTTTGACCAACGTTTAACGCTCTCTCGCGATACGATTTATGGCATAAGCGGGGGCTAATTCTGAATGCCGCTTAACATGCAAACAGATTAACGTAGCCTTTGCCATTATCAAGAGCTGTACAAGTTTTCAACAATAAAAATACTTATCTTATAAATAAATTTCAAAAGATTGCCGTAGCCTGAAATATCCAGGTAATACAGGACCAGTGCTGAATAATGATTAGGTTTTACTGTTGTTAAATATCTCAATTCAGTGTTGGAAACACAACTAAGTATTTGGTGTTGAAAAGCACTCAAAACGTCAAAAGTTGTAAAAAAAAAAATTGGAATGAACAATTTGGCTTTTGCTTGTAAAGCATTATGTATTTTAATACTGGAGTGCACAAGTAGTATACAGCGAAATATTTAAAATGAGAACATGCTATTTTGTTTTTCGTGAAGCATTATGAACTTTAATTCTGGTAAGTTGTGAAAAACCTTTTAGTGGTGTTCAGCGAATGTATTTTTAATCTGTTCTTATGGCCTGCATAAAATATGTTAATGTGTCTCGACCATTTATCATGGCGCCTTTGTTTTTTTTTTTGTTTGGTTTAGATAATTAACACATGCCCAAAGGTGATTTATTTATTTGAGTTTATGTTGCTTTATTGCCTGTTGTTATAGTATACCGCTTCGGCGGTAATTGTAGCCGCTGTCAATGGCTCGCTTGGCACACAAATTTATAAGTAATTTGCTTTGGAGGCGGGGATCTGGACGAGGCAAATAGACAGTGTATCTTGTTAATACCCTATGGCCACGGTATAAAGGGATAATCCAAATATTGACTTTGTTACGAGCGAGTTCACCAAGACCTTACCTGTAAAACTGCTTCAGGTGATCCTTTTATTTTTTAAATGAATCTCAATTGCGTGCAACCCTCCTCCGCGTACATGTAAGAGTACAAATTTGAAGCCAATTAAATTTGATTATACATTTAATAATTTGTTGTTCATACTGCCTTAACATTTACCAGCAATTGCAGGGTATATTAGTACCGCCCACTCTAATAGCTTGTTCTTGGGTGCTTTGTTTTGGTTTTGTGGCAATCATTAATGATAAATTACCAGTATTTGGTGTTCAATTATTTAATGAAGTGGCCAACGCGTTGGATCCGGCTTTATTGCGCGCTCCGAAGAGGTGCTATCAAATTTCAAGCAATTTAATTGTATTGTTTTATGCCAGCTTTATATTTAGGCAAATTTGTTTAACTAACAAATTTAGATGAAAAATGAAATACATTGCTGCTTCTTTCTACTTGACCTATCCGCATATTAATAACAGACATTTGATAATGATTTTAGAATATATTTACATTGCTCGTGCTGCTAAAAGTAAATAAAGAAATATATAATGGTCAGACATTTGACGTTTAGTGCCGTAAATTGAGTGTATATCGCAAGTTTAGTTGAATAAGTAAATAATAGCTGGCATTTCCTTCCCTTGCTTGGCCATAGTTTCTTGCTTCAAATTTTAGATATACCTATTCCACACATTTTCCGTTAGTCGAAAATTTAAATTTACCGATGATAATATTTATTATATAGAAGTTTGAAATTTGTGTACCATAATCAGTAAAATATTATTATTTTTCTTAGATTGCTCGGCAAATTCGAAGCTGGAAAAGAAGCGAACTTAACAAAACCTAGGAGTTGGCCAAGAATTAATCTGACCAAAGCAAAAACAATGGGCAAACAACAAATTGTCAGGCACGAAATACCAATTGTACTCATATAAGGTAAGACAAGTAAAAATAGAACTATTGTCGACCATTTAATACCCTTGTTAACATTTTGTCTAAAAGGGTGTATATGTTATAGCCATAGTGAAGTTCGGATTGGCTAAAACAAGAATTGTTTCTTTTTCATGCAAGAACTCAATTCAAGCTTTCTAGCTACAAGCTATGGCCAATATATCAAAAAAGTGTATGCAACTTACTTTTTGACCCAGCCTACTCTGATAAATGTATACAACATTTTGAAAGATTCATAAAATCAGGAGACAAGTTTTTACAGAAACAGGTTATGGTCTCGTGCTCTTCTATGGGTTTCAAGTTTTATGCAAGAACTCTCATACTCTCTACAAGGGTATAAAAATGCAGATAGTAGAGAAGTAGAGAAATCTATGGTATGTGAGTGAGGCAACGTCAATTGTTTAAAAGTGAAAATTCGATTTTGTGGTAAGGCAGAGTCGACAAAAACAACAAGAACACAGCAGACAAATGGCATGCAAAATAAAGAGCAAAAAAAGGTGATTTTTATAGGGAGTGTGAGTGTGTCTGTGTGTGAGTGTTTCCTTTTAGTTTGAAAAGCCTGTTATTGTTGCAGTTGACGTTGTTGTTATTGCTGTTGCCTCGGCATGCCGATGCTTTGTGTCAATGGCTGGACAGTTAGTTGTATGCATGTGTATGTGCGCATATCTGTGTTGATGTGGCCAAAAAATATACACAACAATCGTGCAAACAACACACTCACAAACACACAACAAGAAAGGCAGCAGAGTTGGGGTGGAATCGTCAACGACACTCCAGCTGTTGAACCCTGGATGAGGCAGCGTCATAGTGCATATTCCAAAAAAAAAAAAAAAAACAAGAGGGAAGGATGCAAAATCGAGCATTGGACAGGTGGAGAAGGAGCAGTAGCAGGACTAACAAGAAACGTAACGATAACGAAAAACAAACTTTAAAAATTGGATTCTTCATTTGCATCGGAAAATCCAATCAAGCCAACGTAAAGACCCCGGCCAGACACATGCACAACATAAAGTCGATGCAGAGACATGGACCAGGCGGCAGACGTGGTCCAAAAGCTTGCAAAACCCCACGCGGTTCGGTAAAAGTTGGCCACGGCACCAGCACATGCAGACAAAAAGAAAGAAAAAGAGGGAACAGTGACAGAGAAAAAGAATGCGAGGTAGTGAGGCAGGTGAGTGTATGAAACGTACAATAAATGAAAGGTGTGCGCCGCATGTTTGGCCATATAGTTGACCGTTGCTTATGGCTTAGCTAGCCTGCTCAGCCTTCCTGCTGCTTTCTGGTGTCCGGTTGAAAATTGGTAACGATTTGTATTGCATTGGCCAGCACAAAAGAGGCTGCCATTGTTCCGATTGCCGAGTGCTTCTCAAAAGTTTTGCCGGCGGCACTTTATCATCCCCTTGCACTTCATCCGCTGCCCGCTGCTTCTCCTTGATACTGTTGCATTGCAAAATTTTCTTATTTGTATGCTTGGCTTACCTGCCGTTATCCATCTGCCTTGTGTCTTCATCAACTGGGCCTGTATTAAGTCGCTTGTTGGTAGCCTTCGCCGCCGTCACAGCCTGTCTCTCACTTACGCTTTGTCACTGTGTTCGATTTGTTGCTGTTGTGGTTTTGGCTGCACACATATACACAAGCACTCACGAACACACACACACACACACACGCAACATATGGAGGGAGAGAAGGACAAACAAAAGCCGTAGCATACTTGTTGGGGCCGCTCGCTTCGGTTATTGATTGCAGGCATACGTTTGCCATTTTATTACAAGACCCAAAAATGGTCAACGAAAAAATGCAGCAGCATTGTTTTTTGGCCACGTTAATTGCCAGCGAAACCAAACATTTGCGTCAGCCCAACCGCAGGCAGCGATGCTAGCCGCAGGCCCACCATCAGCGTCAACGTCGACATCGACATGGACGACAACATCAACCGCCACTTAAATTGCCCAAACCGCGACAAGTGTCCGGCTGCGACTGCTGCCATGGTTGTGGCCAGCCATAGACACGGCCCGTTGAAGCGCACAAGAAAACCATTCATTAGCGCTTATCAAGCCCCAACCTCAATGGCCATTTGATTTTGCGCTTAACCTAAACTACACGACCTTTCTACTTTTCTTTTCCTTTTTTTTTAGTCCAACATATAACAAACGCTTAGGCTGGCCGCGCGGCAATCGCTGACGTTTATTGTAAATGGTTGTCCAATGAAAATTGTTGTGGCCTATCAACGTCAACGCGGCCTGCATGGTGTGGGCCATGTCCTAGTAGGTGTCCTGTGTCATTAGTGCGAGGAAAAAAATAACTGGCATTTTTATCGGCCTATACACAACGGATGTAGGCTGTTGCCACGCTTTAGTTTAATTGGCACTTGACAGTGTGGCCAACAGGCTGCTGGCATTGCCGGTGCTATCAATCAAATTGGCTCCTTCAACTGTGGTCATCGAAACATATGTGCCAGATTATAAAAGATTTGCTTATTGGATTTAATGTGAATACAAATCAACAGACTTGCATAATAAGTGATGTGATATTGAACTTTAATACAAGTGGCCAAAAACATTGTATGCTGCTTCAGGTTGAAAAGAATTCATTTCATTTGATTTCAACTAGTTGCAAACAGCACACATTGATAGTGGATATGAACAACCAACAATACTAAAAAACAATCGATAAGGAATGAAAAGTGTTGTCTATAAAAGGAGACAAGCCTAACCCAATAAAGTATATATATCATTGATCAACAGCCGAGTCAATAAGCCTATTCTTGTCCGTCCGTTTCTATAGTTCTTCCGTTTTGGACTCCTTAGCGCGCTGTAGCATAGAAATAGTTGGTTAAAAAGTAAGTCTATGAAGATATCTTGTCCAATCCAAGCATATATTGGTTTCACTAACTTTCTATATACAATCATAATCTTATCAACGCCAAGCTACTATATCTTATATATACTATAATATATATATCTTAAGATATCTTAACTAAACTTAATTTTTTATTTTATTTTCTATTCCTACTATGCAACATTAGTTAAATTGTAATTGGAGTTATGTATCATATAGCACTATAGCGAGAAAAGGTAAAACAATAGTTTTTATTCTCAAAAATATTCTGCTTTTTATAATTTTTACATATCTGTCTAACCGTGAGCAATATGTTTAAAGAGAATTTAAGAGAATTTAAAGTTCGAAGAGAAATTTTTTGTTGAGCTAAAGCGTTGTAGCCATGTCCATCTGTTAGCTCTTCAATGGTCTTCTTTCATATTTATTAATGGGTGACTATTTTTATATGCAGCTAGCAATTGTAGGAGATAATTGATGGCCGAAATGGTGTCCCAGGCAACATTAATTGCCATCATTTTCTGCCACAGGCTAATTGCATTCACACTTTTTCTCTCATTCTCTATGTGCGTTTCACTCTGTCTATCTCTGATTTGGTCGTTAAAGCAAACAGTAAACATTCGCTAAGCCGGCCACATGCTGCATGTCAACATTTCTTTACATTTTGCAAACGGTTTGACTGTACCTGAATATGTATTTGCATATGTATAAGTATTTACCTGGCACATTTGTAGCACTTGTGTGAGTTTGCCTCGTTGTGCTGGCTGACAACGAAGATGCTAGCAACAAATGTTGTTGTTGCTGTTGTTGTTGTCGCTTTATTGCCGTGCAAACAATAAAATTTATGCTCAAGCGCGCATCATTCCCTGCCTGTATGCCATGCACACACGTGACTGATGTCCATTGTGACGGGGCTTGTTGTTGCTGTTGTAGCAGAGTGGCTAATGTTTCATTAGATTTCACCATCGCTCCCAGGGACATGGACTAACCTAACCAAAAGGAGGCAGACATCATCAGCGTCAGCGTGATTTCAAATAATAATTAAAACCCGACGAATGTTGTTTGATGTTTTCATGTCGCACACAAGCACAAACTGTGTGTGTGTGTGTGCTTGTGTGCATTTTCCATGCAATAGATTAAAGTGAGCACATGCAAGGCCCCAAAACGTATACTAATGGGCAGCTACGTAGAGCCCATGACTGACCAACAGACTGTGCGACTGTCGTTAGCTGCCTGACGATTTAAATGAGCGTTGCTCTGGGCTGCGAGGATAACGCGACGGCAGCACACAAAGTGGTCGTCCTGGTTGCTGTATTAATCCTGACTGCCATTGCTGCCAAAATGCTGTGTTATTTGAATAATTGAAAGGCACACACAGATACACATGCTGACAGTTGAGCGGAATGCCTGCAACGCTATCGGCGCCAAGGACCGACGGCAATGGGAATTATGCATACGTATTTGTATGTCCAATGTCCTGGTGCACAACGTCCAACGGATTTATAACTGATTTCTGGTGATTTAGTTGGCTCACAAAATGCAATGAGACGAGGCTCAGTTTCTGCTCCGCTACTTTTGGACCCAACCAGGCCACTTGCTATGCAAAATGTCCCGCACATGCAATGACGAACCGAATCTCATTTGTGCAGCCTGACAGCGCTAGCAACCGGAGGCTGCACCTTAAACGGATGCAGAAATTTATCTAAAACTGTGGCACAAGGACGCGTAAAAGTTAATTGAATTGCTATCGAAGCATATTCAATCAATTTAAATTAGTTATGCGGTTCTGCCGCACAAAGCATTAAACCTTGGGGCGTTCGTTGCCAGTTTCCAGTTGCCAACCGCGCGTTGTTGGCCGTGTTAATTAGATGCGTCTGCTCAGCCAAGCAAATGGCAAAAGTTTTCAGCTTTCAGCTTGCGTTTTCCTTTGCCTGTCAACGATAAGAAATTGGGCGTAGCTGGAAAGATGCCCACCTCCTTCCACATTAATCAATTATTGCCAGGCAATTTATTGCAGTGTTTTTTGGGCGACTGTCAGTTAAATGTTTATTAAAAAATTCATGAGAAATGTTAACGTTAATCGAACCGGCTTGTGGCGTTGTTTCACCCCGACTCTCGCAAGAAGTTGCCAATATTATTTCCTAATATCACAAGCCGACAGATGTCAGCCAGTTGACAGTGTCAAATTCCAATCAAAATGCAAATTAATAATAAACACAAATGGCTTGACATTTGCCTGAACTACGTTTTGATTAAATTGCATCCCAGATATTCGATTAGCTTCATAGAAAATGTACTGCCTGTCATTGCCTACGGTCACCAGCCCATTTCTGATTAGTGTTTACTGAGAAAGCGATCTCTAGAAGATGGGCTCCATTTACTAATTAATAAAGGCG